ATATGCCTAAAGATGCAAATAGACACCTAACAGAGTTTATCAGAAGGAAATAAAATCCTGGAGATGAAATTAAAGCAATTTAAGGCAGTTGTGTTAAAAACAAGCAAGCAAACAAACAAACCTAAATCACTTAGTCTTTTTTTTCATTTTTAGGCATTCTGACACCTTTAAAATTCTGTTCCTCAGCCCATTGCAATTCAGCAATGTCCCTTACTCAGGTCAAACTCTGGTTGAGAGGGATTTCTTTTTGTCCCAGGTTTGCTCAGATTGCTGTGTGGGGCATGCTCTGTTTCAGAGAGGAGCACTGGATGTTCAGGAAAGGATGTAGGATACTGCTTCAGCACAGGCTCAGCCTTCCTTATCACAGGAGCTGTGCTGGGAGGTGTTTCTTATGTCTGCATTTTGATGTCAGTCAGTGGAGACAGTGGCTCCTCAACACCTTCTTGGACACACTGACACTCCCTTTGGAGGCATCTTTTCCTTCTCAGCACCCAAGAGGAAGCCAAGGTGCTGCTCGGACCATGCATGGACACTTGGATCAGGGGAAAGGAAGCTTCCCTGAGTTATTGAAAACCCTGGGTCTGCTGTCTGACCCACACACTGATCCCAGGTGTGGGGATCTGGGGCTCTCTGTTACCATTGCCCTGAGGATGGGTGGTGTCCTGCTGCCCTTCTGAAATGAAGGGAACCTTAAAGTGTGGGAAGATGGGTCAAATCCTCCAAGAAAGCAGCGTAGTGTGTGCCCTTCCTAGCCCAGTCCCAGGCAGTGTCTCCACAGGCCATGTCTCTGTATTGTCCCTGTGCCCAGCAGCTCATTCTAGTCCAGTGTCTGCCACAGGCACACTCAGAGGGCTGCAGACTCTGAGAAAGGAGGCAGAAACTCTGAAATCAAGAAGGCCTAACCTTGTTAAGAATTTTGAAAATTAGCATAATTCTTTTCTTGGTGTCCTTGATGAATTGAACTTCTGTATAACATAGGGACAGAAATGCACTTTTAAAGTTGAGTCACTTGGTTTTGAATGAGAATTACTGGCGCTAGCCAGACAACCTGTATTTGCACAGAAGAATTATTTTATTTTCTTCTGGCCTCACCACCACTACAAAAATCATTTTGCCACAAGAATGGGCAAATTTCATCTCAGTAGGAATCCAGTAGAAAGCTCAGTGTTATAAGGCCTTTAGCTAGACTGGGACTTTGTACAGATTCAATGGTTTAAAGAAAAATTCTGTCATGGTTGAGTGGTTTTCAGCCCATGGAGCTGAGACAGGCAACCTTGCAAGGCTGTGATAATCTATGGCTACAGCCCTCCTTCTGCTGACTCTGGGCCATAGACTCCCAAATCACCTCAGGGAGTCTGCAGTTTGCTTTGAAATTTAAGCAGAGAGGAGCTTTTAGTGTAACTCTGCAGATCTCAGAAGGGCTTATCTCAGGAGGGAATATTCTGATGGCTTTGTGCTGCAGTGAATTAAATTATATAGGCTGGCTATTTTTTCATCTTCTGTTGCACTGACCTAATTTAATACAAATACATTACTGGAGAGCTGAACTAAAATCGTGTAGGTCTTAACAAGATCATAACAAAACCCATTGAAATCTTTTTCTCTTATGCAATTTAAATTCAATTTACAGTCACTGTTTATTTTCACATACTTGGTTGTTGTTTTAAGCACTGGGTTTTTTTTGCACTGCTTGCGTAACTGAGAGCTATTGCAGTATCAAACCGGTGCTCTTAATGTGCTCTGGAATTTGGCTTTTTGGACTTTTACCATTTAGAAAATGTATCCAGTTGAAAGGACAGTCTCGGAAACAGAGGAGCCTTTCCACAAGCAGCAGCTGTTCCTGCTGTTGGGTGTGCACGGAAGAAGAGAAAAGGAAGAAGAGAAAATGATCTGAGAATGTACTCGGTGCCCGTTTCCTTTCCCTGGGAGCACATCTGAGCCCTGAGCAGGCTGTAGCTGTTCCTGCTGCACACCTGAGCCTTTGGCCTTGAACATCCCTGTGCCCTGCTGCCACATTGGAATGAGGGCATTACAAGAGTGGTATTTTACCATTAAATGCCACACACTGGACTCCATGATCATGGAGGTGTTTTCCAGCCTGAATGACGCTGGGGTTCTGTGTGCACATCTCAGCAAAAGCCCCTCTGGAACACGGCAGGACCATCACTTCTGTGAGCTTCTGCAGCAGGATGGGAACAGAATAAGCATTTTGGTTTTCTATACAATGAAAAGCCTGAGCTTAATTATATTAAAAGCTTTGAAGTCCTGCTCAATGTCTGGCTTCCAGCCCAGCTGGTGGAGAGTGCAGAGAAGTCCCTTTGCTGTTTCAGTGTCAAGTTGAAATTAATTGTCTCTCTCCCAGCTTGATCAGCCACTGAAGGTCATCTTATTTCAGTTGTTCCTAAAGTGTCCTGCATACACAGAGTATATGCACAGGAGTAAACGGGGCTTGCATTCAGTGGGGAAATGATTTGTAGCTATTTATCAAGTAGTGTTGTAATTTATTAGTTGAATTTTGTTGCTTAGATTGAAAAAGTATCTGACAGTCAACTGGAACCAGCAGTTCCATTTTAATTCCACAGGGTAGTAATTTTCTACTATTACATATAAAGCCTTACCCCACTTATTATATCTATTAGTTGTTGGGCTTTTTACAGCACCACAACGAGAAACTTGCCAAGCAATAAATTCATTTGAAAGGTTTCTTTGTGTCTTTAGGAAAAGCTTACATGAGATACTTCCCTACTTACATGTAATAAAAGGAAATAATAAGGTACACAGCACTCGAGTAACCATTAACTTGTGCTATTGTGTATTTTACTGGCTTTATTAAGGATAATTTTCCAAACCATACAGACTCAAACAAGTGCCTTTGCATTTCTCTGAATCTATCCTTTTAATTTACAGAAAACCTGATTCACACAGATTGTGGAATTAAATCATCATCCCAGCTGCTATGCTTTAAGTTTCCCAAACCTTTGTGAATCATTGTGTGGTTTTGAACAGCCTGGTTGTTGTGACAGAAGAATTTTTGTAATTGATCAAATATGTTTAGGATTGGTCAGTTTATATTTTTAACAAAAAAAAAAAAAAAGGTCATTTTTAGAAGAATTTATTTAATTTTTAGGAAATTGAATTATTCTTGTTTTTAAGTCACGATTTCCTTTTTGTGTTTCCGGCTAATTGCAGCACAGGAATTATTTTGATTTTTGTCTCAGACATTACAGCTTTGTTGGGCTTTGGATATTTTTCTAAGTCTCCCTTCAGAAGCCCCAGTTCTTCCTGCTTGGCAGTTGTTAAGCTACCTGCCTCCTTTTTTAATGTTCTGGGAGAGACTTCTGCCCACTTGTGTCTGAGACCAAAAAAACCCCAACTATGAGGCATCAGAATAAATAAACAGGACAGAAAGCCAAATGTGGCCATGATCAGAAGCAAAGCCACGTGTGTAGGCTTAGAGCACAATTTGGAGCTTTTGTACGTTTCAGTTCTAGGAGAGAAATGATGAGTCAGTGCTGCCAGGGCTGCTGGGCCACAATTAATGGGTTTGCAGCTGGCACTGCGTGGCCTCAAGAGCCAGAGACTTGAGGAACCCTTGCTAAAACGGGCGCGTCGGGTCATGTAACCCCACGAACCTTGTTCTGTAGTGACTAAAACTTCCTGAATGTCTAAATTTCATTCAAATTTCTTGAGGATAGAAAGCTAAATTGGATACAGAGACGCCCCTTCAAATACACTAACAAGGTGCAGCCAGACCCTAGAGAAACAAGTGTACCGTGTAGGCTCTGTGGTTACCCTGCATCAGCCTCGGTGCAGGGGGAATTTCTGTGTTTGTAGAGGCTGCAGGGGCTGAGGCACGGGGGCACCAGGAATCCTGACGCTCACATAGCACCAAAGCTGCGGGGTCCTGGGACTGCAATACACACAATTGCCCTGTAGGACCTGAGCTGGGGAGAGAAGAGACAAAAAAAGGAAAGTACCATCCTCAGCCACAGATTGGATTCAACCCAGCTTGGGCTTTTCAGTGGCTGCCTGGGTAACTCTGTAAGTGAACAGCCATGGATTGATGCAGGGTCTGGACAGCCCTTATTAGCTCAACTTGCAGTGGTTTGTAAATGAGAACATTTTTTTTCCAGTTAGTTTTTCCCTACTGTTCTCCCAAAGTGCCGTGGGACACTTCCAGGAGCTCAGCTCTAACAGACCTGCTTGGCACACGCTGGGGGCACCTGGCCCCTCGCAGAATGTGTCTCTCCCAGGAGTCATCACTACACTGGCAAGTGCAGCCCAGTGGGGCCAGGGCCACAGTGACAGGGAACCAAACTACTGCAGGGGACCCCTGTTCCACTGGAAACCCCTTGGTTTTCTTCACATACACGTGGGCTGTTTTAAGTCACAGCAGATGTCACTGCTTTGTTAAAATCCCTCTCAGGCATGTTAAGAATGCAGTATCAGGGAGCCCAATGCTGTTAAGAAATGACAGTACACTTGTTTCCAGTTTTTAATGCTTTCTTGTAAAACTGAAAATACAAAACCAGCTGAGCAAATGTAGATCTTTATATACATGAGGTCTCTGATTAAAAAAATCCTTTTAGTTAAAAAAAAAATAAAAAGAAAAAAGAGAAGACCGATCCAACAAGTTACATGAAAACTGATTAAAGGGAACAACATTCTCAAATTGAAGCATACTTTCCAAGAAGGAAAACATCTTTACAGGTTCATTATATAACTTACATTTACACTTTACTGAGAGAACTTACAAAACAAGCTGCTTGAAATGCTCCTCATTTCCTTAAAGCATGAATTTCAAAGTGCCACAGCAAAGGAACAGGTTCCAATATTATCTTATACAGACTATTCATGTATAAAATGGTTTGGTAAATGTGAGGTGTTCATTTAAATGAGCACATATAGGGATACAGACTAAATAAAAGTACTTGAACAACACCTTTGTTATTACATATGCAGTTATAGGTATAATAAAGGAAACAAGGCCAGCATTGGTTTTAGGTATCTGTGTAGATGGAAGGAATGTGATTCAAGCAGTGATCAAAGGCACTGTTCTGGAAGAATCCATTTTCATCTGTTCCATTGGAGACCATGTCTTCAGATACACACTGGGCTTCAGAAATCCCCTCATAGCCTGGAAAAGTGACAAGGGCATGGATATGAATTAGTGCCACAGTGCACAAGAGGAGGGAAGCACAGCCTGGGGCCTGGGATCACACAGGACAGGACAGCGTTAATGGAAAGACAACTGTTCAAGGCCCTGCCCAGGAGTTGCACAAATTTCAGTGGATGTTTGTGTCATTATAGCTGGTACTCCCATTGGTTTCTGTGCAAAGCTGTGCATTTCCAAGTGAAGTACAAGTATCAGAGCATGGCTCTCTCGGGAGTCACAGTCATTTTCTGAATAAGACATCAAAACAATGAGTGGACAACGATCCAAAGTGTGCCCTAGATGTGATGCAGTCCTCTTGGTTTGTGTTTTTCCTTTTAATAGCACTTTGAAAAAATATTCCATGTGTCTCCCAGCTGCTCTTAAGACCCAGAAATCTGGATCCTACATTTACTGCTCTCCACATAGTGCAGGTCTGAGGAAGCAAGGCTGGGGTAGGTCAGGCTCACAGGACATATGGAAAGAGTTCTGAACCTCAGCCCACTAAAGCCCACCAGGGTAAGCGGCTGCTGCTTGCCGGGTTACCAGAAAGCCACAGAAGTAGGAAAGAATTTCTCTGTCCTTCTTTCATAATGCCGAACTCCCACAGCTATTACAAACCTCCTGAGCTGCACATCCCTGTGGAAAGGGGCAGGTTTGCCATGCTACCAGATGCTACAGCAGCTGGAGTGCCAGGGAGTCTAAAAAAAAGACATTGCCTACCCAAAGGACATGAAAATCTGCTATTATGATCCACCTATCGCCTGCTTTGGCAACTGGCCAGTCGAGGCCCACATGCACATGTTCATTTTACTGCAGTCCAGCTCCTCCTTACTTCTCTGCTGTGTTTACCCCCTTAGTGTCATCTTTTATATATATTCCGCTTTCTTTTATTCCTTGATTTGGGTTGGTTCTTTAATAAAGCATCTGTGTGAACTTCAGCACAATGTTCTGACCCTTGGACTGAACCCCCAAGGACCCCGGAGCCCACCTACCACAACTGGAATAAGCAGCAGCAGCTGAGGGAGCACATGGAACAAGATGCAGCTTAGCAAATGCCTGTGCCTGACACAGAAAGTCAAGCCCTTATACAGAGTGGGGACTCCACTGGGGATGGCTGATCCTCGTGCTGAAAGCACCAGCCCTGGCTCCATTCTCTGCCCTACAGAGGGGTCTGTGGGGCCATGGGGAAATGACTCTTTTTCTCTGCCTTGATGAAAAATGAGGCCATTCCTTCTCTTTAGCCTTCCCCTTGTCTTTTTCACCTGCCTGCACCTCTGCAGGTGGGGCTGAGCCAAACTCTGCCCAGACTCCACAGGGGCCTCAGGGCTAAGTGGCACCACACCAGCAGCCAGGGACAGATCCTGCTTCCTACACAGCCAGTCCTGGCTGCAGGAAAACCTGTCCACTTCATTGTGGCTATTTTACTGTTAGGCATGTTTTTATTATTTGAGGTCAAATTCTCTACTTTACATTTCTGCATTTTCCTATGACTTATTAATTTACTGGTGGTTTACAGGTCAGATTCTGCTGTCTGCAGAAATTTGGCACACAGTGTATGTCCAGAGGTTCTGGAGGACAACCTCAGCATGTTTATCTGTGTCGGGCCAAGTGGAGTGACCAGTATTTTGATAAGTTTTGTGAGTGTTTATGTTATGCTAATTTCTATTTGATGAGCCTGTATACAGGGTGGATACACAACCACAGATGGATAAAACCCAAGATAAGCATACACCCCAGAAATCATTATTAGATTCCAGATAGAGTAAACTATCCAAAGTCCTGAACAGAAAATAAAAATTTATTGACTGTTAATGTGATTCATGGAACAGCTGTTTGCCAGTCACATTTGGCATTCCTGTGAGATGAGATCTCATTTAATATTAATGGTGCTATAAAAGCCTGAAAAAAATTAATGCATAGCCTTGATGAATCTTGCAAACCTGAATGGCTCTATTTTACACACTAAAAGATGAGATTTATATATTTCATACATGTTTATGTTTCAGCCTTTTAAGTATTTGCATGCCTCAATAACCACTCTAAAAACAAAAATACTAAACAGAAACATTTCATGATAGTTTAGGCCCAGACAGAAAAATCAACTGTTGTTGAAGTTGGTGTCTTGCCACAGTATTATTCTTTACTGCTACAATTTCTTTTGGAAAGTTTATTTAGTCTGTTCTTTAAATATTGCAGGCTGTCAATCTAAGCTTGAAATTTGATGTTAACATAAAAAACCCCTATGTTTTACTAATATCAAACTTATGAGTAACACTAAAGAATTCAAAGTTGAAGTTGAAATTTCATCTTAAATGTTTCCCTTGTGTTGGTTACTGATGCACACACTTCCCAGAATGGAACAGCAGACAAATGCATGCACACTTGCTCTGAACAGAGTCTCCTTTAATACAAAACAAACAGGAAAGTCAACTCTAATTTTGTGGTCTGACTCAGGCCCCAATTCAAAAAGCACTTAAACATATGTTTTCAGTATCGTTCTTAACTGAGGTGCCCTCCTGAGTGCAGACATGAAGAGAACTTTCTTGGAAATACATAAGTAAAGATTGCAGCAAATGGTTGTTTTTTATTGCTCTGACAATACTCACATTTTGTTTGATTTCACCAATTCTGTCAATTCTGAATTTTAAAGGTAGAAAAAAAAAGGAATACTGAAATACTGCAGTACTGTAGTAATGTAGCCATTATAACTTCGACCTGATTATAAAAACCTGCCTGAGCACACCTGAGATATGCGATGAGCAGACCACACAAAAAATGTAGGCAGTGCCTTGACAGTTCCCTGAAGGGGGATGTTGCCTATGGCATTAGGCAGAATGGAAGAGACTTTGTCAATCGGTCAAATACAGCAGGATTAAAGAAAAAAAATGTTTTCCTTCTGGGGTTTTATAGATGAAAATGAATTTCAGGGCTATTTTTTTACACAAACATGTTTTTGTTGTAACATTGAATATAAAATGTGTTCTTTGCCCCTCCTGCTACAAATATCATATGGGTAATTCCTTACAGGTAGAATAAATTACCTGTTGAAGCTAAAGGTGCATTGAGGATGTGATAGCCATTCTGCCTCAGAGGATTGAAGCAATGGGATTCCCCTGTGAGCACATCACTGCTGACAGACTGGTCCATTGTTCTGTAGCAATCTCCATAGTGGAAACAGTTTTGTATGGAGTGAAAGCTGCCTTGGTAACCTGAAAGCAGATATTGCACACAATTCAATCCTTCTGCAATGGCACTACTTCCACTTCTGCCACAGCATTTCATTACTGTTGGGGGGGGTTAATTCCTCAGTTTTACCTCTGGAAAAATATCACCTTGTTCTATAAAGTTCAGTTACAGAAGAGTTGCATCAGACTTGGTCCCACAAGGTGCTGTGGACTGTGATCCCCATCATGCAAAAATCTCAAGGATGGGCTTCATTTCAAGCAATAGATCAGCTGAACACTGTCAACAGCACACTTGGTTCCAAGCCCTCCACTGGATCAGGTCCAGGATGCTCAGCACCTAAGGGAATGTCTCTGTAACGAATCACTGTTAATTTAAATACAATAATGCAGTATTTAAATGAAGAGTACTGCTTTGTTTTCAGTTAAATAAAGTCTTTTCCCATCCAGTGCGTGCTGTGCACTGCTGGAGACAGCGCTGCTTATCCAAAACACCTTCACAGGTCCCTCAAATTTCTTTCCCAGACTGTTCTTGATTCAAATGAACCCCCTTTCACTGGACACAGGGGGCCACAGTGTGCAGGTAAAATTGACCTAGAAGTGCAGGACTGACTCCAGATCGTTGACAGGTGAAGACTGAGTTCAACCAGAGGCTCTTCTGCTTCTGGGAAGTGCTAAGATAGATCTGCATGGTCTCTGCTTGCTTCAGTCATTCTGTTTTTGGGGCATGGTTGACTTTCGTCCTTCACATACCAAACATTTCTTAGTCCCTGGGTTTTTTCCCCAAGTATTGTAATATCAGTACCCAGCAGTTTGGGTTTTGCCATCAGAAGTTGTGAATGAGTTGTAGACAACAAAAGAAGATATTTAACAGTAAAGGACAAATGAATTGCTGAGGAAGGAATTTTGCAATTTATAAGCTGTTTCAACATTCTAGAAATTTTTTCCCATAAGGATGTTCTCAAAGTATGTCAAAAATATTGAAACCAACCAAGGCCTTATTTAATTCTTTTCCTTTCTCCTGCCTCAATAAGCTCTCCCTTATTCCAGGTGCATTGCACACTAACTAACTGTACATTCCTATCAGCTGCCCCTTTTCCTACCTTCTCTGATTCTCCTTCCCTTAAATGCAACTGAAGTCAACCAAATTAGTCTTCAAGTCTAGAAGAATGTGCTTCAGGATTTTCCTCTAATTGCCAGAAAAAATATGGAGCTGTTGTCTTTCTTCCCTCAGTCTTACACTGAAACATTTCCTCAGGAACTCCTGCAGAAGCTCGGGGCAGCTCAGTGTATCCCACCATGTTTCCCAATTTCTAGCTGACAGCTCAGCCCCATTCACAGCAGAGACCTGCCCTGCTGGGCTGCCTGTGCACTCTTCAGTCTGTTTGTTCAGAAATTAAATCCCTGTGCCTGTCCCCAGAGCACCTGGGGCTGTATGGGGTGAATGTGTCCCTTACAATTCCTGCAGTGTGCAAGCTCTCTCCTGTTCAGTAAGATCTCCCACACTTCTCTGTGTTTTCCCTTTACTACCAAAGCCTGACCAAGCAGACAGTACCAGGCAAAGCTTGGGGTCTGGCCACTTCGTATTTCCTAAGGTGGCAATAAATAAGGCCAAGTGAGGTAATTCTTGAGTAGAAATGCAATAAACTCATTGAGTGGTAAAAGATTTGCTCTGAAGCTTCCCATTTTAATATGTGCTTTGGCAGAATCTGCAAGGATTAAATGATTAATTTATTGAGAATGTATGATCCACTAAAAAATACCTGAATTGTTAATGTCCATGATTAGTGAAGTTCTAATGGATGACTCTTAGATAAAGACACTACACACTCTGTACCAAGGCTGCTTGTATTTGCTGCTATGGAGAAGGCAGCACAAAAATTTGTAAAGCTGAGCATTAAATGATGCATACCCTTCCTTGGAATAAACAGCCAGCCACCTCTATTTACTGCCTGGAGAGTCTGGCTCAAAGAACCAAGGAGCTCTTATGAGAGGTAGCACAGCCCTCTTTTGATGTGGTTTTAGGTACAGTGTGTTATTGATTGGCTTTGGTAATTATCCTTTCTGTTTACAAAACAAACTCCTTGCTGTAAGCCTTCTAAAAATACATCCTTTTGAGATGAGCAGTGAAAAAAAGAGACACTTGGCTTCAAAGGAAGAGCAACTGGATGCAGAGAGCACTTAGAGGCATTGCTAGAGAAAAAAAAATCTTTTCCAGAATGTCTGCTATAGACATCACTCCTAGGGAAGGCATGACGTGTATTTTCTCTGTCCCTGTAAGTGCTGTCCTTCCCTTGTGCTCCCAGGCTTGCCTTTGTTACATCAATTAAAAATCTTCATGCCCTACAGAGCTCGTACAGTGGCTTAGAAAAGCAGAGAGCATCCAAGCATGACAGAACTGGATTGAAATTAGTCAGATCCAGGGTTTTTCCCAAGACCTGTGGGGAAAGGTTATTTTGAAGTGTTTTAAGTTACACTGTCTGGAAATACCTGAAGCAGAGAACTGCCTCAGAATCAGAGTCTGGAAAAGAACTGCCATAAGCAATGAAATCCTCTTTTGGATTGCAGTGTTTATCCCTCAGCAACACTGTGAAATAATCTGAGAAGGCAGAGGAAAAAGTGTTCCTGGAACCACCCAGTGAAGAAAGGGCTGTAGGAAAATCCGGGTGCTACTGCACTGCCAAGGTCACCGGGACCTGATTTCGGCCAAGTGCTTCACAGAGAAAATACAGAGAAATGCACTTTCCCTGTTCTAATGTGCCTACAAGTGGGATAAATGCAGGTGTGAAACTAAAGAAAAAACATGGAGTGAGGAAGGGAAAGTGTGCAGCAGGAACACAAATCAGGCAGAACAAAGCATGACACTAAAAATGGGATTTCGGCCCCTCTGGGTTCATTGCATTTAGTTGTAGTTTATTTTTATATATTTTTTTAATTCCTTTAAATTTCTTTAAATGCTTCAAATGAGAAAATATGGGGAATTAAAATATTATTAAAATCCCATAACCAAGCATTCAATTAACAACCACATGTGGTTGATTAGAGTAAACTAAACAGGAAGCATTTTTTACAAGTTCTTAAAAAACACTCCAGGGGTTAAAATACGAAGTAACCAAGAAGACTGGTCCAGTGCAGACACCCCTGCTCCTTCTAGAGTGAAAATCTGTAGTACCAACTTGGCAATAAGTGTTTCACCAATATTTTTTTTCCACATGGATTTCAGGTTTTCCCTCAGTTTTGATTTAAAGCAAGAATTTTCTGAGGTTATTTTCAAGTGAAGAATTTACTAAATTCCCTGTCAGTTTAAATGATCACTGTTAAATGTTTTATGTACAGTAGATGTAGAAATATAACAGTTCATAAAGGAATAAACTGAGTTCCAAACATAACATTTAGTTAAAATTTTGCTTTGAAATAATTTGTGGCAGAAAAGTTGCACTTAGCCACTTCACACAGTGCACTGGCTGCCTCTGCTTCTCTAAGGCACAGCCTAGAAAATGTCAAGCAGCTTTAAAACGAATGATGTAATGAGCAAATAATTGGAATATGCCTATTAAATGCCATCTTGTTATGTCATGTCATTTACATGTATTTGCAAATAAATCTCAGCTTTTCAAATTCCATAAAATTTCTGACAAGAAATCATGTCAGGTATAAATAACTACAGGATTCCATTGCCTGCCAAATTCTTTCAGCATGTAATGATTTCCATGTGATCTTACTACAGCTAGGTTAAAACATATAAATAATGTCAGCTTGTTCTTTCATTATCAATATTTTTGCTACCAGCCTGACGAAGCTGCCATCTCCTAAAAATTCCACATCCACACTGTTTATGTGCTTCTGTACATATGCCTGGTTCTACACTAGGTTTATGTGGTGTACCTTTTTTTGGCAAAAATTCAAGACACCCAGTTTATTACAGATTCCATTAGAAAAATGTGCTCTTAATGAACTGAGAGGCAAAAAAAAGAAAGAAAAAGTAGAGCAGGTACAGTTAAGTACAGTTTACAGATAATTGGTTTCAAAGGCTGCTAATCAAAACTGATTTTGGAATGACCATTTCCATAATTAATTTATAATAATACTTCAACATTTGGCCAAAGTGGAAAATTATTGCTTTTGCAAAACCACATGACATAACACTTAGAAAGCAACAATTCATTCAAAAGGAAATGTGGTTTTCTTAAGGAATAAAATCAATTTATTTAAGTGGTTCAAAACTTGTTCTGTCTATGCATTTGTTTCTGCCATAGTAATGAGCTGCTAAACTTTCCTCTTGTGGCTTGTAGTTATTTAGCTCATTATAGCAACATAATCATATATCATTATATGCTATCATAAATCTGCCACTTCTCCCTTACAGAGTTAATCTTTTTAAATTGAATAATCTGTTGAGCATCAGGTTGAGTTAGTTTTCCCTTCAGCACAAATCATTAAATATAATACACTTTAACTTTTCAGCCTAAGCCTGTCCAACCAAAGAACAAAAACACTGCTCTGAGAATGAGGGGCAGAGGGAACTGTTGGGATACCCAACCCCATCCCAGCTGGGAGCTGCTCATGGGTTTGTGCTCAGGCTCTTGCAAGCAGACAGATGTCCTGCACACTTCTTTATTGGGAATATTTACCAAATTTTAGCAGCTCTCCATCTGGACTGCATAACAGATTTCTGAAATATGCAAGCTCCTGTTAGTGGAAGAATCTGTGATGATAATAATATCTTGCTAATTTGTGCCTCAAAAATTTCAGGAACATTAATTAGTTCCCACAGCAGAACTCCAGAATAGGTATGTAAGCTCACAATTAAAAAGGCTGAGTAATTCAGAACAAAAAATGTTTTAAATTAAGCTGTGGGACAGCTGCTTACTGCTTCCATTCCTGTCCTCAAACCCCACAGGCACTCTACAGTTGTACAGAGTGCATTTACATGTTACTATATAATGTGAAACAAGCTAAGCTTCCAAATAATAAATGAAAAAAAAGTTTGTTTTCTTTGTCTAATTCCATGTCTTGTGCATCACTATGAGTGGACTGAGCAGGACACTGCCAAGGTGTGCCTCATGGATTTTGGGACTGGATGGCTCTTGCAGGGTCACTCTCCAGGCTGGATGACCAGCAGCCTTCTACTGAAGGACCTGAATAAATGCAATAAATCTGCTGTTGGGACAGCTTTCCCCATTATGATGACATATAACAGCATGGACCTGTCTGAAAATTTCCATCTGTATGTACATCAATCCAGTTTAAAAAGCGGAGTTCCCACTGAAATGCTGACAGTATTAGCCAAATATGAAAAAGCAAAATAAATTCCTTCTCTCCAGCTAGAAATTAGAAAAGTTGCAAGAAACAAGACGAGAGAAGAGTTACCTTGAGATCCCTGCTGTACAGACTGGTTGGGAAATGGGGTGTACGGTGTATTTGGTATCCCAGAAAACTGCTGCCCGTTGGGTGACTGGCTGTGGGATGATGGAGAGCCATGTTTCTGCAAGAGGGAAGGTGGAACTAAAGCTTTCAGGGGGCTGACAAGTGGAGAGATTATGTTGGGAGCAAGCCTAGAAAAAGAAAATACAGAAAAACGTCACATATCACATCATAATATGGCAAAATGAAATACTTGAATGAACTATTTCCATAATGGTCAAACTACAGAGAAGTCTGTTTAGAAGGTACAAATTATATTGAAAAAAAGGACAACAATGCAGTGCTACCTTCAGATATTTGCTCGGAGGCAAGAGAGTTATCCAAGGAATTCTGCTCCTTTACACTGACTTCCTGCACTCACTGTAATGACAGGATCAAAATGACACCACTCCTCAGAGAGCAACTTAAACACAGCTCAGTTTAATTTAGAATTTTATCAGCTGAGATACATGTCCAGAAACAGAAGTGGAAAATGTAGCTAGAATGAGGAAACGCAAGTAAATTGTTTAAGTGCCTTCACAGCTTAACAGGGCCAAGCTACAGCCAAGACAAAGAAAAGCGTTAGTTTCACCCTGCAGATGAGCAGAGTGGATCTCGTACCCTGTGACAAGGGGCCCTGTGCCCTCCAGCCCTGTGGTGCCCTGTCAAACAGCACATGGAGAGCTCTCAATAGACTCTCTGCTGCCTCTGGAGCTTTTGCTGAACCTAAGAAGGACCTCTTTGAGCAGCACCAAAACCTTCAGATGCTGCAAAATCCACCTCAAAGTCAGAGAGACACCCTGCGGAAACTTCCCAGCTACAGAACCCGAGGAAGAAAAATAAAACAACCTCTGCAGGTTGTAATAGGTATCACCAAGCTGGGAAAAAATACTGAGCACAAACGGTTGGAGGCAGACGAAAATGAACTAAATAAAAACTTAAATCTCTCATTGGTTTCTTCCTCTACCCCTACAAGCTGTTCAAACACCATAAACCATCATTTCACACGATGGCTTCTTAGAGCAGTTGGACTGACCTTGGGAGTGAGGCTGTGCTCCAGTGAGGGCTAAGCACTACATGGGAACGTGCAGGAGGTAAACAGAGGGGAACTGTGAATAAATGGTGACAACAGCTTAACCAAATTTAACATGAGAGGCACAGGAATGCTGCCAAAAGCTGTCACAGTGAGGCTCTCAATATTAGAAGGGGTTTAAATCAACCAATCCAAGCCCATCCTATGCTCAAAAAATTCCATCTCCCAGAACAAGTAAGCAAGACTTGTAATACAAACCACAAAGACTGAATCTCCCCAAACTAAACTGAGGAATTAAACTAGCGCTGTTAAATGGGTGAAGGCAAGGATCATTTCAAGTCAAATAGCAAGAACTGGAAAACAATTTTTTTTTTGCGAGTAAGATACCCCCTGCAGTAAGTGCTGATCAGTGATATGTAAAAGAAACAGGGCTACTGTCGAATTAAAGGAGCCAACACGTAAGGAGAAAAATATCCTATTTGTTCTGGTATGGAAAAGGCCTGGGACTGCAGAGGTGCCAAAAGGGGACCTGGGGGTGCCGGGGCCACCTGTGCTCTGCTCAGGTCAGGGACCGAACTCTCTCTGCAGCCCGGGCTGCTGAGGGGCAGATGCAGGGAAAACACCGATTTATTTGCGCAGCAGCAGCAGCCAAACGCCAGGGGCAGCTCCCCTGGGGCCGGAGTTTTCCCTCAAAGGGCTCAGCGCGGCCGCGGCGGGGCTCGGGGAGCTCGGGGACCGCATTCCCTGCGAGCGCTGTGCGGGCCCGGCTCCGCACTGCCCCGGCCAGGCCCGCCGGGCCCCCACGGGAGCTCGGGCCGCTCTGCCGGGGCTGAGGCACTGCCCGGGCCCTCCTCCGCAACACGGCGACACAGACACCGTCCTACACGCGCCAGCAGCGCCTGGAAACGCTTCTAGCTGAGACTCAAAAGATTGCAGTTGTTTTCGTTGGAAAGATAATAGCTAAAAGAAGTCATGATAGTGACATTTATATGGGTAATGACCACACACACATTTAAAAGAGAAACAAAAGACGTACTAAAAACTCCAATGCCGGGATGAGCCAGAAACCACTCTGAATAGGGGAGGGAAATGCTTCTGGGGAGCGAGTCCTCTGCAAATGCCTGTGTTGGGTTTCCTCTGCCTGCTCTTGGAATGTCCTGTCCTGGCTACTGCTGGGAAACGCAGCACCCCACGGAGACCTGCCGGGCTGCTCCGAGCGCTTTGTCAGGATGGGCCATCGTGCTTCTAAATTCTATGCAATCATGCTGCTTGCCGAACAAAAATGGTACGCTTAGGTATCCAGCTGTGGGAATACTAAAAATCCCAGCTTCCCTACCCAGTTTAACTACTCCCAGAGGCTACTTAAATCTGAACCATGGGAGAAGAATTTAAGTTGTTATTGTTATTTTTAAAGCAGCGCTTGTCCTCACTCACACTCTTGCATTCCTGTTTTTCCTGTGTGTGAGCTCGACAGGATTTGAGCCTCGAAACATTTGAGATGAGTCTTTAAGGGTGGTGAGGTCCCCTGCAAGGCCGGAGGGGCGCGGGCCCTGCTCCAGCTGGGAATGCTGAGCAGCGTGCGGAGCTGCCAGCTCGCTGCTCCTGCCGGCCACGGCTGCCCCGGTGCTGGAGCTCAGCAAACATTGCTGCCTGTGGGCAGCTGTATCCTAGGAGCAGGAACCTGAGCCGAAACCCTGACAGCTCCGGGTAACACTTGAGCATCACTGCCTCCTCAGCATCGAGAGAGTTTCACAGAGTTGAGCAGTTCACCATAAAAACCTGCTGTGTTCTGCTCAGGCTCTCCCAGCAAGGAATTTAATATGTTTCCTGGAAGTTAAGGCAGAGTTTTCAGCTAGGAAAGAACTTTGCTCAGCAGAAAAATCTGGCTATGCTAGCACAAGTGGTCAACATGGGGATCTGTGTCCTTAAAATATTCCTCACAATCCCTACAGCTCAAGCTGGTCCCTAAAGTATTACCGTGTGTGTGTGTGTGTGTGTGTGTGTGTGTGCACGTGTGAATGTGCTCTGGCACGCTCAAGGGAAGATTTTCATCAGCGAAGCTGTCCACTCTCCAGTGCTGTGTTTTTAATTCTCTCCTGAATATCTGCATACTAATTAGGTTGCTGTGATACTCAGGTTGTTAAAAGAGGAGGGATCATTCTTGATACAAATTAAACAAATAATGCATTAGAGCCTAAAAGGTGATGCCTTCTGTGTGGAAGATGAAACACTGAAAGACTTACAGCAGGAACTCAGCTGGATACACTAAAATTCCCAGGCAGGAGCTCAGGCACGTGTGTTTCAATAACTAATAGCCTGCACATTTCCTGTTAATACTGTACTACAAACCACAGTTTGCTTTGGTTTGGATAGTAATAATAAATATGTACCATATATTTTACCTTAACTGCAACTTGCATAATTCAGTAAATTTGCAGGTCCTTTGGGGCCTTTTAATATATATCTGTGCCTATATATAGTTATATATATAAAGATATAAATACTTGCACAGGCATGAAAAAAAATCCGTATCCTTCCTCAATTCATTACATTTGAGGGCTCCTGGCTCTTTGGAATATTTCTGTTGAGGGCCATACAAGGGTGTGATGTGGGAGCCTCCTCTCCACCATGTCCAAGACAGAGGAGCAACAGGACATGTACCATGGAGAGAAGGAGCTGGCTGGAAACAAAAGGAACATTTTGCTCACACAGCATGCCCTGGCCTGTGCCATTCACAGCCACAGGAGCCAAAGAGTCAAACAAAATACCTATTTTTTTATGAAGGGACTGAATAATTTAATGGCCAAAACCAACATTTCCATGCTAAGTGAGGGGTAATCATATCTTGTGCTTCAGGATGTAAAGTGATCACCCATGGAGGCAAAGAGGAATTCTGCTCTCTTCACTCACCACACAGCTCAGGGTGACTGTACTGGGGGCCTTTTCCAGTTCCCCCTGAAGCACCACTGGAGGATGGTCTGGAGATGGAATTCCTGTCTGAGGGAGCCGGGATTTCAGGTGGGATTGCAGGGCCAACGTTTCCTCTGAGGAGGCATCAGCAGGCAATCAAGGAAAAGGACTACTCAGAAAAATCTTACGTGATTCATACACACAACCAAAAGGAAACTTTGGGAATAACTGAGCCTAAGTGAGTAACCACCTTATCTGTGGCACTGTGCACATTTCTGCACCAACACTGCCTGAAAATGCCCGGATCCACAGCCCTTCCCACAGGAACTCCAGCAGTCAAGTAGGATTCTACCCACAAAAATCATGAAACCAAGTGTCAGTCATGGACAACAAACCAGTTCCTCAGTTCTACTGGAAAGCATTTGTCACTCACATCAATGGGAATGCTCAGAAATCTTGGTCCTAACAGAAGGCCTTTTTAAAAGAGAAAATTTAAAGTCAAAATATAGAAAAAATTGATCATCCTCTCCCTTTCCAAGTGCACCCCTTAGGAATCTCAAACAAATCCCAGTAAAACTTTTTATATAAACTTTCTTGTGATCATGCTTTAACAATATATTTTGGGTGGTGGAAGTTTATATTAAATTTTAAGTAAGGCCTGTGTTTAGGGAACTACCCCTGTATGCCATGAGCTATCAGTGACCTACAGAAAACACACCGAAAAGCTACAAGTACTATGACTTTGCTTTATAATTATTTATACTGTCTGCACACTCAGCCTCCCCATGCAGGCAGGGGTGTTTAAGGATCTCTGTATTCTCCCAGTGCACACCAAATGTCCTGTTCCAATATCAGTGCAACATAAAGAACCGAAAAATAAAATAAAAAATACAGATGGACATGTATTCTTGTGAGATTTCCATCACAATGTCTGGATAGGTGTCTTCTATATATCCACAGTGCTTAGTCTAAGGAAGAAATAGATTTGCCCTCTGTTTTAGTCTTTGTTCAATACCAGTTCCAGGACAAATTAACAGAATAAGAAATTATAAAGCTCCTTTCAAGATGAGAGAGCTTGGCTAGAACTTGACAAAAACTACATACAGTATACTTAGTAAATACTGAGTGGAACAGAAAATTGAAAAATAATAAAAATAAATTCAAACTAAGATTTTTAATTATAAATAGGAATGAAGTGTAAGTGCAAAT